GAGAGAGAGAGAGAGAGAGAGAGAGAGAGAGAGAGAGAGAAAGAGAAAGGGATGAATGACGCGTGGCATTTTTCTCGACATCTACAGCGAGCCGTAGATATGTAATATGTTATATAAATATAAAGTGTATATCTATGTATATGTATATCTATAAATATAGTAGGAACGAATTTCCCCATCGAGATGGGGCCGGCATTGTGGATAAATATCGGCCCACGGACACGCAACTGCGAGAATGATCATGGCGGCATGATTGGTCTCGGCGCGATCCTGCCCGAAATTTGGGTCGATTAATGTAATCGTTCTAGCCGCGTGATGAGCTAGGAATGATCGATAACGACGCGAGATGCTTTTCGTCGTAATATCGACGATCGCATCGCATCGTCATCGCCGGCTAAAGAGTACAGTTCTCGATCGGCGATATCTTACTGTCTGACACAACACCGCAGTACACGAAGACACCTTTTCTCTTCAGATCTTTTCTTTTTCTTTTTTTTTTTTTCCAATAAAAACAGATACGCATTTTTACCAAAGATTTTGTACTTGCATCTCCTTTCTTATCGTTGGTTTTATTCCTTGCGACGCGATTTTGCAACGGTGCATATATATATTGCACTCTAAAAGGAAGAACAGTGTAGTTCCATTCCATTTAAGAGAATTTGTAATGGATAATGCGAGTTGATATGAGTTTGGAAATCGTGAAATGATTTATCAAGTAAATTTGTTACGCCGTACGTACATCATGTACAACTACAGAAATTAGTTTCAATATATTTATCAGGAAACAGATGGAAGTTACGTTACTACTACTACTACTGTTACTATCATAAATTATATTCTTACTTTCTCTTTTAAATATTAAACTGATCGGGTCAGATCGAAAGCATACAGATCTTGATAGTACAATCTTATAGAATCATAAAAAGATCACTTAACTGGGAATACATCGCGTACTTCTTTCATTTAAATTTCGAATATGCAAAGATCAATTTAAATATATTTTTCTGATTGTATACTAGCATAAGAACATGTAGGAGACGACGAACGCCGAAAAAATGGACATGGTACCAGAGACGCTGATTAGAAGACTACACACAGGCAACTCGAGTAGTCACGATCCGTACGATTTGTATGCACCGCGGAACAAATCGACCTGACATATTCTCGATGACCAGGCGCCACATCGGCGCTGCGATTTCTCATGCGAACGCCATTGCAGCTATTCTCAGGTGCATGAATTATTCCACGGGAATGGACGCTGCTCGTCGATGGATCGAATTGAGGCGGCACGCTACACCGGGTTTCCGGTTTCGCGGAAAATGCAACTCTCGTAATAATATTACGTAACCATAAAACATAGCCTAGAATATATGTTCTCGACCTGTCGCATGGTTTTGAAACGATTTTTAATTTAACATTTTGTTTCGTGTCTGATATTTCGGACACAATTTTACCTAACCTAAAACCATGGACGAAGCCATAGATAAGGTATATGAATAGATATTGCATTTTACGGACTTTCGTGGTCTCTAACCTGAAATACCGACATACTAAAGAATCACTAGTTTTTTGGCGCACTCTACGTTTAAACAACGGTGAGTTGGGGAACTAGTGAATGCGCCAGCATATATACATATATATATTCAGGTATATGAATAGACCAAGCACTCAATCATTGACTACTTGCATAGACCAGATATACAATGCTTTTTCGTGTCCCAGGTTTTGGGGGTTATGTGATCCGCTTACCATTTTCGTGTCACATCCTATCATATCGACTTAGACAAGTATTGCACCGCGGAAATCAAAAAATATGAACAGTGTTGCCAGATTTGTATCGAGAATTATTTCTTGTATTGAACGTGGTGGCACTTCATCAATATAGGAAGGAATATAACGATTTAAAACAGAGATAGAGGAATATTTTTCCTTTAGAAAACACTAAAATTTCTACGACAGAAGATTAATGGTAATGAAGTAAAACAAGATAAAAGAGACGAGTAAAATAAGAGAATAGAACAGGCAAATAAAATAAAATAAAATAGACAAATGAAATAAAGTAAAACAAGAACATTAAAAATGATTATTCAACAGCCACGTTGCATTCGACAGGTGTCTATTACTGCAGAAAAGTGAAGTCACTGCAAGAATGCTTGATCGTTGAAATCACCGTTAGTTACCGTTACTTCACTTCGTGGATCAACGTTAGATAATACGAATTTCTAACGAATATTATCGTATAATAGCCGACGCAAAACGTATGAAATTTCAACGGAATGAGAATCTCTAACGGATGTCAGCGCGTTGTAAAGAACCGGAAAGGAGATCAACGATGCGAGGAATATTAGATATTGGCATGCACCTAAGCGTGCATATTCGCATCGCGTGCAACCGGCATGCACCCACGCCTTACGTACGCGTTACGTTGTATTTATTAATGTATAGAAGCTAAATTCTATGCTAAAATAATGGGGAAAGAATACATCATATATGTAAAAAAAAAAGGAACATAGTCGCAATTTTTATTAACAAACATTTTATTATTGGATAAAGAATCAGTGAAAAATTTACGATGCGAAAAACGAGCTAAGCATTTTATTAATGGCGCTCTTCCTAGTTAACTATTCTGCCGCTAGATGGCGAAACTATTTCTGTAGATTTGTGCGCTAGCTAGATATTTTATGGATATATGTACGCGTTTAAAAATTATTCACTCTTTTTGCAATAAAAATTTACTTTCAAAGTAGAAAGTTAATAAAATATTGCAACTATTATTTATGAATCTTCCAATTACAATTAAAAATTTCAATTAAATTGTAATTAAAAACACCCATTCGAAAGTCTTAGATCAGGTATTGCATTTATCTCAAAATTAGAAAAATGAATATAATAAAGAATACAACAAAGGAAACAACAAAGTCTTATTACATTAATAATCATATTATAAAACACACGTGCGATTTAAAAATTATATTATCGGTAATAAATACTGATTATTAACTCTCAAGTAAAAACATGTGGATAAAAATTTATTAATTAATTAAATTAGAAATATTTAATTCTTTAAATTAAATCTCTAATTAATTAGAACTATTTAGAATCATTTAATTATAACTTGTATAGTAGTGCAATAAATAAATGATAATAAGTTATTGCAGTATAATAAATAATAATAAATAATTGTATAACATAAATTAAAAATAAAAACAACAATAACCCAAAGATACTAATCGAAACTAAAAAGTACTAACAATTTTCTGCAAAGGTGTATTACATGTAGTAGTTAATAAATCATTTCCAATAAATTAATTTCCACGAAAAATAAACGCTTCGAGTTAACTTGCGATGGTAAGTGAAGAATACACCGACTATTCTAAACACGCGAATATTAAGAAATGTGTTGTTCAAGTAACGTTCACGTTTAAAAGAATCGTGATCAACGATCGAGATCTGAACTCTGTTCAAGAAGACTCGCGATGAGAAAGATGCGGGGAACCGGCAAAGAGGAAAAGAGAAGAGTAAAACGGTCTTACTATTTCAAGCGAGATCAAAAGCGAGCCAGATTTCTGTGCCCATCGGCATTTCTGCTGCACCAGCGAGGAAAAAGAACGGCTTATTATTCGTGGAACGACGAACCGTCGCGCTTTACATCGACTTTACTCCTCTCTCTTTGTCAAGCCTTTGCAAGAAACAAGCCTCCTTTTCCCCCTAACTTTTTACGTTTACTATCGTCGATTTTACGTAGTAAAAAGTGGCTAATAAAAAAGATTGCAGATGTTTCGTACGAATTCGTATTTTCATAAATGTAATGAAAAGAGTAGAATCTCGATAGAAAACTGTGATAATCATACTTTCTAACAGATTATACTTTGGATATTTTATACGCGTACTCTAATGTTTTTTGTTCATATGGAATTGAGTAAGCAAATAAAAATATCATTCAAGTTTAACATGAAGATGGACAAGGATTTTGAAAATTAATAGATATAAATATTCACGTGTTTTCTAAGGCGTTCGGCTCCAGTGTGAATGTCTTGTTCATACTGTTACAAAGTCAAGATCTTCATGTCTG